TAGCCATGACAGAAAAAACAAAAATCAGATGTCGAAACACTTGTTTAGATATTAGTTGGCTCGTTCTAACAGCGCGCGAATTTTTCGCGCGCGATGAGCGTCGGGAAGAAATGCTACACGCGTGCCGCATTCCGAATCGAGGACTATGCGTAAGTCACAAGAAGATGGTGAACGATGTGGTAGGAAGCGGTGTTAACTTTCTGATTCTGAGACGGCATTCTTTAAGACTATGACGCGCAAAGAATGAGCTGAAGGGGTAACGTTTCTAGGCTCACCAACATAACGATTTGATGTTTCTGTGTAAAACTTCACTATTTTCTCTGGTGTACATGTAATGGTAAACAAGTGCTGATCGTTCTACGATGTATTGATCGTTCCTCAGAGCCAAAAAATGAAATAAACCGAAGACAAGTGTTTTCACTACAGATCTAATTAGAGAAATTCAGAACACAAGTATAAGAATAAGGAGAAATAACAGAGCGCAAGCAGCCTTGAATAATCAAACCAAACGTGATCATTTCTAGAAATGCCGTCAAACACAAAACATTGGATGCACTACACATAACGTTTTTCTGTCACGTCTCTGTGAACAAAGCAGCTCCTCTCTTTCAAGTTCGTATTTCTCGCTTTTAACGTTCAATTTGAACACTACACAGAATTCCCTTTGTGCAGTACGCGCGACATTTCATACAGAAAGCACCCGAGGTATTTCAAACCACTCACTTGCAATCACAGTACATTTCCTTTTATTACGAAAGGTCTTGATCAGCTTTTTCAGAACCATAAGCCTAGGTTGAAGGTGCTCCATGGTAAGTGGAGCGTTTCACTGACCCCAAATCCCCTGTCTCAAGCCTGAGCGAAGTTCCTCATTCTCCTGGATTACCACCGTTTCCTTCCTTAGTTATTGCACTAAAAACCATCCAAAATTAAGAAACTTTTCCTTAGAGGAAAAGAATATGTGGCCATAGAGCTCACCGCGTAAGGGCCTGAATGTTGCGGATAGCAATAACCCAGCTGTGTGGCAACACCGTAAGCGAGCGCTCCTTAAGTCCCTGCATATACCAGTACCTGCCGGGATACACCTCCACACCGATGGTGGTTCAAGGGTTTCAAGATTAAGATGCCAAGCATAATGGAGGAAGGCAGCGGCTCCCGACACGGCACGAGTCTCCAGAACGTAGTGCGTTAACTGGAATAAGATGGGGGTGGGGGCCCCGTTCAGACTTCGCGTCAAAACGCTCCGTCGCGTAATCTGAACGTAGCCGAAGGAAAAGGGTCCGCAATTACACTATCTTGCTTACTGGCGACATAGTGTGGATTCAGACAAGCGATCTGAGTGGTGTTGATCTGGACAGCCTATAAAGAAAGGTCTGTTCACAGCGGAAGGCTACAAACGCGACGCTGGTCGCTAATATCTTCTTCACGCTCAACGAAGCGCATTAATGAATGAATGCTCTAGTACATTAAGGTTTGTAGATATTATAAAAATGCCTCGACTGCAAATCTGAGCACGAGGAAACTAGTGACAGTGGTAGTAAAGAGAGAGGAAAAGGGGCCAACAATCATCCAGCATCCACTTTTTGATTCTGCGGACCATTCTGCCTTTACAGCTTGGGGACCTGTTCATAGGCAGGTTGAGCGCGCGGTCGAAGCTATTCAACGCGCTGTGAGGAATTTCCAGTTTACTGGTACCCGTATGTGCAGAAGGGCATCTGAAGTTTTGAACTTCGCCAATGGTCCTATGCGACGAATCCAAAAGTTGAGGCTCAAGCCGGCTTAGCCACCTAGTTCCTTAATGTGATGCCCAGGTGCAAATCAGAACAACCTGGCAAGTGAAGGTATGAGTTGCACTTCAGCTGGATCATATTTTGTTTTCCAACTGCTTATTATTGCTAGCACTGCTTTTCTCTGATTTTTATGACTGCAGCGCCAAAATCGCTTCCTACGCCTACCTGCAGCTTCTACGTATTCTCGTATGGCATCTTTTCAGATCACTGTATGGGTGGAGGTGCAGCTGCTTTTGCGATATATGACCGAGACGTACGTATATTTCATCTTGAATTGATTTCGTTAACAGCTTCTCTTTCTTTCTCTTATTTTTTTCAAGCAAAGCATTGGGTCTCAGACTCACATCAGCATGGAACATGAGGCTTTTCATGGCCAAGTCTGCGCAAATTTGAGCCTAAACTTCATGCTGTGTTCATACTTTGCGTCAGCGTTTAGGGCGTACGCCACCTTCAGCGACTAGGAAAGTATAGATATTGATCTAGCGAATGCCAGCGTATGCCAGCGGCTAGAAAAATATGGTAATCGGTCCAGCGAACGCCAGGGTACGTCAGCGTTTTCACGGGCAATTTGAGCTTCAGCAAGACTGCCCGTGAAAACGCTGCTGTACGCAGCCATTCGCTAGTTTTCGCTAGATCGATATCTATACTTTCCTAGTCGCTGGCGCTGACGTACGCTCGAAGCGCTGCCGTACGCTACCGCAACTTCACGAGTGCCGACGAAGCCATTCACGTTAGCGCTCGAAAATTTGGCAGATGCACTGCACCACCGTGTGGATATGTCCGTGTACCCTAAGTTGCTCACTGGTAAGTAATACTCTAGTTCGCTGCGGATGAAGGGGCGTGTCAGGCAGTATGAGTGTGCCACGGCACCAAACCCGTTCTCTGCCAGTTGTTGAAGCGGGTATGCGACAACAGTTGGTAGAAACAAGTGATACGAACAGTATGATATTGTATTGACACTTGCTTACTTCCACAAGTGGGGGAGAACGGGTTGAGCACCGCGCCGAACCATCCCACCTGACACGCCCTTCGTCTGCAGTGAACCGTCCACGTGAGAGATGCTAAACCTAATGCTGCAGAGTAAAAAGAGGGGTAACTAAAGCGCTTTGCTTATTTGAGATCCAATTTAGGAAGTAGCGTTTAGCACAAACAGCTGAGTCCCAAGAACTGTTTCATTGAACATTTTGGAGGCGAGAAAGTGGAAACATCTCTTTCTGAGTGTTGTACTCTACGTTCTGCTTTTCTTTTCATTTTTCGTTGCTCTGTCCATCAATAATTACAATAATTTCAACACAATAATTTTTTTCAGCACTTGCGGTTGTTGCATGTTATAAATGAAGCACATCAAAAGAATGCCTACGATTTGGAGCTGTTTATACATTGTTCATTGGACATAGTTGATGAGAAAGCCGTGAAAGCCAATGAGATGTTCCTCGGCCATTTGTACACGGATCAGAAATATAAGGTTCATTTATAACATGCAACAACCGCAAGTGGTTTTAAAATACTCTGTTTTTATTTGTTTCGGCGGTGTGTTCGTACTTTGCGATTTGACCGCGCGGACGCTTTGGTCGCGCTGGTCGCGCGTGGCAACGTACATACTCCGTGACGACGTGCGTCGACGCGCTGCCTTTGCAGCAGCGTTCCAGTGAAACACGGAAAGACAGCCATAGAGGGTATCAATTGGCGCCAGCTGCCACTGCTTTGAGTGAGCTTAGCAAAGAGTACGCATAGCATAATTACACAATTTGGTACCCTACTATTCTTCTGTACTCTTTAAAAACACTAGCGACCGGCGCCGGATAGATACAGTCCTCATCATTGCGGACCGGTGGGGCGTGTCAGCCAGAAGGAGTGCGCACACTGTTGAAGCCGTTCTCAGCCTTTTTGTTGCAACGCGTATGCGACAAAAAGTGGTAGAAAACGAGTAATACGAAGGATATTATACAGTAATGCACTTGTTCGCTTCAAAAACTGGTGCAGAACGACTTTGCCAAACCGCACCAAATGCAGCCGCACTGCCACGCCCCACCGGTCCGCAATGATGAGGACTGTATTGCTGTACGTATGCATTCTTTTGGAGCATTTTGAGGAGTGAATGGTTGTGCGACGTAGCGCGTCATTGCGGAAATCTGAACGCTTCCTGATCTCCAAGACCGGAAGCGCTCGACCTCTAGTAGGCCACGACAAATGCATCTATTAAAAGGATCTTCCTTACTCCTATTTTCCAGTTTTTTGTTGCGTTTTCATCGACAGGCTCCCTCGAGGGTTGATTTTTACTTTATCAACTTTCCTGTGGCGCATGCTTGTTGACAATAATAAGTGAGAATGCGCCTTTATTTTAGTTGCGGTCCTATTGACATGAGACCTAGCCGACATCTTCTTGTTCTGATTGGATCCGTTATCAATTCTGTACAACAGAAAACTCACAAGGAGAAGGGAGAAAAGATTGTCATTTCGAACGTGTTTGAACGAATCTTGCAGCGGGCCACCGATCAGCTGTCGAGCGCCCTCGGTCGTGGTCGCCGCGATCAAAGCGAAGCATCGAATCGCGAAGTACGAACGCTTTTTGAACTAGCTGAAACAAAGCTGGATATCAGCTTCACTTTTTAGTCTTTCGGTTACATCACGAACACTGGAGTGCGTATGATCTTAGTGCCGATTAAGCGAACAATCTTGACTGGAAAGATTTCGATATAAGAGCATTATTCAAACGATTTCATAATCTCTACTGCAATGCAATCTCCAACCCATTTCATAAATTTGGTGATGAAATTCGGTCAAAGTGAGTCTTATATCTTCCGAGTAGGTGGCTCTGCGCGTCGCTGTCGCGTTTCGTGCTCCTTTTGCGTTTGCCAGTTAGCCGGACAATTGAAATGCCTTTGAACCTGCACCCTGTACTGGTCTGTTAGTTGGACAGGATGACCTTGGATGCAAATGTAAAATTGCAGCTAAGGGCGAAAAGCGTGCATCAGATTGCGCGAAATCTCCGGCGGTAAGCGATGTGTAGTATCAAAACAATCGAAATTTCCTTAAAGAAGGCGGGATTAAGCTAGAGACTATTCCAAAAGAAATTGTAGAAGGTCTGACGCGCACGAAGCTGCAATACAGAAGGTGCGCTACTTTTCTTGAGATAAAAGCGATAGAAATTCGGTCTGCGGCTTGTCATTATGCTTGGACCACGTCTTACGTTGGGGACCCTAAGCGCAATTTTGTCGAACTCACGGCGGATCGTATTCGCCCGTCTAAGAAAGTTTTTCCGATATGATTCTGTTTAAACGTACTAAGCGGGATACGTATTTGACTTAAGAGCAAATTTACGGAGTTGGGGAAAAAATTTCACGGTTTTAGACTTTCGCAGTGTTTCAACCCGTTTCACGTATGCTATTCTATATAGTTCCAGAATTAAAGAGTCAGGCATGTGCGAAAAGCCTTCAGGAAAATGGTAGGTGGGATGAGGAAGGGGTCGTATCAGAAGAGGGAACTAAGGGGGTCGTACCCTCCGAAAACCTTTCCCGGCGGTAGAACATGCCCTAATTATACTACCATTCAAATTCGAAACGGCTCGTTGAATGTGATGCCGTGACTTATGGGGCCAGCCAATGTTACTAATTTACCATTCCCGGAGGGTGAGGGCTTGGTTGGCCGGAGCGGGGTCCGACTCGGGATTTGATCCCCGGACTGTGCGCGTGGTAAGCATGTCACCTACCACTACGCAATTAGTACACCATTTCCGCCTGTCGAAGTGTACCAGAGGTGAAAATAGGACCTCTACTAAATGGTTACTATGTACTGATCGTGCTGACTAAATTATTCACTGTTCCCCAGAACGGATAAATTGCGACAGCTACGCGCTTTAGCTACCAGTCCCAACAGTATTATTTTTCTTTCTTTCAGTTTCCATCAGAATACTTTCAGATCCTTACTGGAAGCTGCCGCACAATTAATAAGTACTAATGTCGAAGTGTGATAAGGTGTATTTATGGGTATTGTTATGTATAAATCGACTAACATGTGTTCGTTGTTGTCTTCATTGTATGAATCACCTATACTTTTCCGAGTTCTTTCTTGTCCTACTAAAGTGTTTTATCTCTCAGATGGATGAAGGATTCAGTGGGACGGTCAGGTTATCGAACATTAGTGATTTCATCGCACCGAGCGCGGTAGGTCTCATAATAATTCAAGGAACACATTATTCATAGTTTTGAGACCTTTGAAAAGCTAGGTTGGGTCAGTTTGCTGGAGGTTAAGGTCGTTCTAAAAGAAAGCATATTTCTGTTCGTCGTGGATGAAGGGGCGTATGAGGCTCAGTTTGGCGCGCCGCCAGCCTTCTCACCAGTTACGGAACCGAGTAAGTGACAGAATGTGGTGCGAAACGACTGATACGAACGATATGATACAGCCTGCCGCTTGCCGAAAGAAAAAAGCGAGCTTGCGCCGCGCCAGCCTATCCCCTTGATACGCCTTAGCATCTGCTGCGAACGGAACTGAATTGTTTCCTGAGAACTAACGGTTCGTTTGGGTGTTTCGGCTATTAGGCGTAGAAGAAATGGAAAGAAGTTCAAGACGAGTAAAGGACAAATAAACCTTATACGATAGACATTTTCCCTTACTCCTAACATGTCTGCTTACATTAAAAGAAAACGAAGTCGCATATTCAGAAATTCTCATTTGCTAAAGCATGGACGGAGCGGCGGAGGTGACGTACAAGTGGTTCACGCACGCGGCTCGGGGTTAAAATCTCTGATCTGCTCCCACCCAGGCAAACTAAGCCTTCCACCCTCCGAGGCGGTAAACCAGATTCATCTGGGATGATAAAACACTGACTTGTGCACTCTAGTTCGCTGCGGACGGTTGGGCGTGTCAGGCAGTATGAGTGTGTCACCCCGAAGCCGTTCTCTGCCTTCTTGTTGAAGCGCGCATGCGACAAAAAGTGGTAGAAAACGAGTAATACGAACGATATGATACAGTCATATCATTTGCTCGCTTTAACAACTGGTGGAGAACGGGTTTGGCACCGCGCCAAACTCATCCCGCCTGACACGCCCAACCGTCCGCAGCGAACTACACTAAACATTGGCTTCCCCCGCGAGTCATTGTATATATACCGCATCGCATTCATTAGACCACTACCATCTACATGTTTGCTAGCAGAAATTCAGCCTGATTCATTGAAATTACTTTGGGTCCTTAAAGTACTGCAATATCATTTAATTGCCTTTCAACTAGTTTTTCTGGAAAATATAGCATGAATGAAACGGCAAATCGTTCGTAGTTGATCAACATCTTTTTCGAAAGGCTCCTTCCTTCCATGCGACTGCGCCAACTTCATTGAAAATCATAGGGCATATGGCAAGGTATATGATCCATGCAGTGACTCAAAAGGTCCACCAAATGGCAAACTCTCTATCGCGACCAAGTCCAGAGAACGACTGCACTTGTGAAGGCGCAGGCAATGAGTAGGTTCGGCTATAGTTAGGCGTATACGGGGCGCCTGTGAATGGAGTCCGAAACGGCATCTGGCTACCGCAACCCTCAGACCTCTTTTCGGCGTACTTTCGAGCGATGAGGAGCACCGGTTTACTTTGCATCTGACTATTGCTAGGATCCACGGAGCTGAGCATGGAGCTAATCTTTAAAGACAAGTGGCATGATAGATCGACAAGGCGTACCTAGTACGAAAGAATAGTACTCCCTTAGCAGTCGCTGCGAAGCGCCTTTTCCAACCATGGGCACCGTTACAGCGTTTAACCAAGCTGCAACATGCCGAACCAGACGCCCAGCGCAACCGCCCGCCCATAAATGGCCGCACAGTCATATCGACGCTGGTACTCTTATCGCAACTGATATGAACCATTGTTTCATGGCTATATGAATACATGAATGCAGCCGTATCTATCGAAGCGGTTGTTGGTACGATGCCATCGGAAAACTCGTCCAAAAATGTTCGTCCAATGCTGTGCTAAAGGGGGATTTTTTGCAGGTTTTGACCGTTTAACTTCGCGTTTTCGTCGTTTTCCCCACTATCTGCTACTATTTTTTAGCAAATACCAAACTATCGTGCCTTATGCCTTTAAGGTGCGAGAAAAGATGTCGATGTTCGGACGAACGGAATCATAGTCACCAACATATGTCGAGTGGCAGAGCTTATTTATCTTAGTTTTGAACAGTGTGCTTGAAGCTCTTGACTTGTTTAACAACTTTATTGGCAAGCTTTCGGCATATAATGCCTTCGTCAGGCCTTAAATTACAATTTCAAACATATAATAGCTA